TACATGATGACATGTTTCTCACTCGGAATAGATTTTACTGTTCTCATTGTATAGGAAACAGAGGCTGAATAATTTTTTTTAATGTTTTGCATTCCTCAGCTCTCATTGTAATCAGCCGTAGGTTAATCTGTCAGGATTGTGTGTATCCCATCCCTGGCAGACCTAAAAAGAACCTGAATTTATCACCTTTTTTTTTCTCTGACCACTTACAGATGTTCATAAAGAATGCAAGCTTCAAGCTGTGCTTTTTTTCTTTTAATAATTTAAGATTTTTTTTTTTGAAGATTGTATATACTTTCCCCTGGAAAATAGAAAGAGTTCTGCACAATGGAATGAACTTTGTGGCGTGGTGCTAAGTGGGGGAAGCTGTCTGTTCTCCCTCAGTATCTAAGAAAAAGATGGTTAGTTCTGAGAACTGGTGTTCAGAACTGGAAGTTCTGAGAAGTTCCTTACCGGTTGCCTTTTTTTTTACTTGTATTAAGGGCTGATGGTGATGCTGCTAATGCACACTAAAATGTATACTGCGTGGTTTCTATTAAGTTAATGGAACTAGAGTTTTGTCCAGATGCATGTGCCCTGGGAGGGTCTGTGCCTGACTGTTCCTCTGTGCTCAGAATGTCATTCAAGGAGAAGGCAAAGGAGAATAATTATATTTCTTGTAGAGATAAGTGTGCTACTGGGAAAGAACACGCCATCTTTGGTGAGGAGGCTTGTGTTTTTCTAAACAGAAGAGAAATCTGGGAGAAATCTGTCCTTTAGAGAAGCTCTCTGAGTTATACTGTGTCTTTAGAAGGCATGGAGGATAATCACATGGGTTTCTTTTTGTTTTCCCCCGACCATCTTTGAAATACGTTTGTCCAGTTGTTTTCCCTAAGTTTTGAGTCTAACTTTTTTTCCTTACCTTTTTGCTCCAGAAAATGCCAACAGGGGATATTGAAGTGAAGGCAGAGACTGCAGAGATCCTAAACTCCTGCAAGAAGCTACCTTTTGAAATCAAGGATTTTATCAAGGTGTCTGTGGTTTTTCTTTTTCTTTTTTTTTTTTACCCAAAGTAGTGACTTTTCAATAAACTGGGAGTTTGCCCAGGGTGATGACAGAACATCTGAGAATTTTGTGTGGATCTCCCATATCTGCTTTGGGGTATTTAAAATAGGAGTGTTGCTTGTTAACTGTGAGGATATATTTCTAATTAGAGTTAAGCAGGAAAACAAGGCTTGAATTATTCCAGTGCACAGGATTTTCAAATATCACGGTAAGAACAGATGGTAAAGGGAAGAGTGAAAGAAATTGGGCTATGCTAGCTTTTTTGAGAGTGTGAAACAGAACCTGCCAGTGCACTGCTGTGTTTTAAAGCAAGGGTGCTTAGTCTCATCTGGGCAAGTAGCTAGTCAGCCAGAGGATTTTCTTCCTATGTAAGTACAGTCTGAAAAGAGGTTGGTTTTAGTGCAGGCTCCATGGCGTAGGAGAGACATCACTGTTAATTGAAAATATTCTCTGTGCTGTTGAAACTGTGACTGATACGTAGGTGTTGGAGTTGGGAGAACTGGGTCCTGTCCCTTCCGTGTTACAAGTCCTGGGCAATTCTCATCATCTGCACTACTTTAGTTTTCCTGTCTGTAGTAAGGATGTATCACTATTTAGTTGTTCCTTTAGTTTTATGTTGGATACCACTCCCCTGCTTAAAAATCACAAGGAGGATTGTTGCTACAGTCTGTTTCAGTGAACTGTGAATAAGGGGGGCTGAAATCCTGAGCTTTAGTGAGGCATCTCTTATCAGAGTAGATGTCTGTCTGGTTTTGGTTTTTGTTTCTGGGTTCGTTTGATTGGATTTTTTTCCAGCAATTTTCATATCATTAACTTTTTATAAGGGCAGTTAATGACAGAACAAGGGGAAATAGCTCTAAAGTGAAAGAAGGTAGGTTTAGATTAGATATTGGGAAGAAATTGTTTGGTGTGAGGGTGGTGAGACAGTGGCCCAGGCTGGCCAGAGAAGCTGTGGCTGCTCCTCCCTTGAAGTGTTGAAGGCCAGGTTGGATGAGGCTTTGAGCAACCTGGTCTAGTGGAAGGTGTCCCAGGGGGGTTGGAACTGGATGAGCTTTAAGGTCCCTTCCAAACCAAACCAGTCTGGGATTCTATATGTGGGAACACTCAGTGGCTGATTTTGTCTGTGTAGGTTGTGGGTAATGGGTAGGTTGTGGCGATAGAGCAGCATCCTTTTCTAACTTCCCCCTTTTGTCCTTTGCCTTTAGGAGCAGCTTCACTGGACATGCAATTTGAATTTTGTCTGTTAATCCTAATTACCTCTTATCTCTAGAAATCAGAGGCCTTACGGATGCAGTATCGCTACCTGGACTTGCGTAGCTTCCAGATGCAGCATAACCTGCGGCTGAGATCACAGATAGTGATGAGGATGAGGGAATATCTGTGTAACCTCCATGGTAAGAAACATGTGTGAAGAACAGTGTGCAGCAAACAACATTTTACCCCTCTCTTCTTCTGTTTCCTATTGCTGGGAGAGATTGCCAATCAACTTGCTACTCCAAACTCATCCCACTTAGTAAGGACACATCTGCTTGCACTGGAGTCTTTAGAGGGATGTTGGCAGGCCTGGAGAGCAAAGTACATTGAAATCTCTTAGCGTGCTACAAACCAGGTGTTTCAAATGAGCTGTATCCAGTGAGAAAAAGCCTTTTGGAGGTAGCTTCCCTCTTCTGGTCACCCAACTTGAGGCATGTTGAAGGGATGGATTTCTTATAGGCTTTTTGCTTATCTTAAAATCAGGAATCTTTTTTTGGAAAAGCAAAGCCTAGTTGAAAATGGATAGAGAATTAACAGTTTTTCAGCCTGTATGGAGTCCTCTGTCATCAGTAATTCTGGAAGGACATCAGAATAGCTCAGAGCCTTTAAATCTGTCATTACACAAGTTATTCTTAGCAGCAGCGAAATCTGTAGATTTTGGAGAGGCTCTATGGTGTGCTAGATTACCTGTTTTTGCAGACTAACCCTACTCTAGCCTACTTTCTGTCATACTCATTCTCCCTGCTCTCAGCATATTCTGTGTCTGAAGCATGTGTTTGTTCCTCAGGGTTCGTGGATGTGGAAACTCCAACGCTCTTTAAAAGAACCCCAGGGGTACGTATTCTGTTAGTGATGCATCTTAGCCTGCTGCAGCTGCACAGGCAGCTCGTGGTTGAGTTATTGTCACTTGCCACTCTGCCTTCATTGCTGTTCCCTCACTAAGTAACAGCTCAGGTGCAAATTCCTGATATCATACCTGGCTCATTTGAAACGTAGAGGGAGTGAAAGGGAAAAGGTGACATCTTGTGTGTTAATTTTGAGCTTTCAAATGAGTAAAGCTTCTGTCTTCTTCACAATTCTGTGTTGAATAAAAGTCCTGTCCTGGGACAGCCAACTTATAAAACCAAAAAACTTCCTCTAAGCACTGTTTCCCCAGCATTTATCTTTTAACTAGTAGGTTACTGCAATGGCATTGCACAAAGCATTATAATTTTTGAGTTTATATTCCTTCCTTTCATTTAAAAAATAATCACAGAGAGAGAGCTGTAGCCCAGAAATTGTTGATGCAGCTAACACATGGAGTTCTTGCATTTAAACCCCTGTCTTGGATGGTGTGTTCTGCATTAGTCTCACAGAGCAGGAGGTAGAGAATCCTCCTTTGGGGTATTTTGGAGCAAGTTGGTTAGTAGATTTTTTTTTTTAAGTGTAATGTACAAATAACCATTTCCTCACAAGTGACATTTCATAATGGGGAAAATAAATCCTTCATATTGCACTTCTAAGCTGTGTTGTTAGCTTAGAATTTGTAGATTTAATTCTACAAAATAGCTGTGTCTGAGACTGTGTGATTGCCCATTTCAGAATCCAGTCTCCCCGTAGTGATGCACCCAGCTTCTCACTGTCTGTGAGACTTGAGTCCTGTATGTGTTTAACCTAATTGCTACAAAAAGGTCCAAGATGTGGATACTAGATTTGATTCAGCAGTTGAGCAGAGCTCAGTGGGAGCAAAGGAAGGTGTTTTGTAACGTCTGTTGAAAATTGCAACTAGCTTGGGAAGGGGAGCCTCTGTTTGCTGCAGTTCTTAGAGAGTGCTGAGAAGATTGTGCATTTCCTGATTGTTTTATTTGACATACCTCTCTTTAATTGCTGTGCTGACCTGTCTTGCTGCAAAGTTCAGTGTTTCAGTCTTCTCTTGCCTGAGTGAGTGGGAAGAAGGTCTGTAGAAGAGGTGTAAAAAATTGACTGATAGATTAGGAAACACATGCATTGATGTTTTTTAAAAAAATTTAATTTGTATGGCTGCTTTTCTTTGTACTCTGAGATGAGTGCTCAGAAATTCTAAATTCTTTTTAGTTTCTCTCTGGAAGATACTTTTATACCTTTTTCCTGGTGGAGAGCAGTAGTCTTTTCAGAGTTTGGTGTAATTTTTGAGCTGGGCACAAGGCTTTCTTCATGTATTGGATATTTCCTTCCCTCACAGCTGAGGGAATTGCTGACACATTTGTTGCTAGGCTTGAACTGTGATATGAACCAAGATTAAAGCCCACATCTCGCATGAGGCAGTGGAGAGCAGGAAACATCAGGGAAACAGAAGTGGACGCAGATTTCAAGAGTGGTGATTAGAGCAGCGTTTTAGTTTTACCAGATGTTGGAAAAAGGCTCTCTGCCTGCTTATTTCCAGGAACTATTTATATATATACATACACTGTTCATATAACACTGTTTGCATCACTTGAGGAAGCATTGGGTTGACCTGTATTCAGCTTAGCTCTGCTGCAAAAGGCAGACAGGAGCAGGAAAAGATGGTATTTCTTTGGTTTATTAGCTCCCTAATGCTCAGAGAAGGAATAACCCACGTTCAACACACGTCTGAAGAGGAACTAGTGATACTACACATCATGTTTCTCTCCAGAGGAGATCTGCTTTACTGTTGTAAAGTCTGTGTTACAGACCTGCTGCAGCATCAGCCAGCCCAGGTTGCGGTGGATGAGCAGTTCAGAGGCTTGTGTAGGCTGTAGTATGGTAAAGTGGAGAGATGTTTTATCTTCTCTGCTTTTATTAGCTGCTGCTCCTTCCACAGCCAGCCTCCACTCATCTCCAGAGAGTGTAGCCTGCACTAGTTTACACTGAAACCTGTGTCACCTTGTGCTTTGTCTCTGAAATTGGTTCTTAGTTCTTCAAAACGTTGTCACACAGTAGGACTGCACAAAGAGGGTGGAGTT